CATCACCATCCCTGACTTCAAGCTCTATTATAGAGCTGTAGTCCTGAAAACAGCTTGGTATTGGCACAGAAATAGACAGGTAGACCAATGGAATCTAATTGAAAACCCTGATATTTACCCACACACATATGAACATCTGATCTTTGAAGCTAAAAATATACAATGGAAAAACGACAGCATCTTCAATTAATGGTGCTGGCATAACTGGAGGCTGGCATGTAGAAGAATGTGGATCGATCCATGTTTATAGCCATGCACAAAACTTAAGTCCAAATGGATCGAAGACCTCAACATAAATCCAGCCACACTGAACCTCTTAGAAGAGTAAGTGGGTGGTACCCTTCAATGAATTGGTACAGGAGACAGCTTTCTGAACGTAACACCAGTAGCACAGACAGTGAGATCAACAATTAATAAATGGGACCTCCTGAAACTGAGCAGCTTCTGTAAGGCAAAGGACACAGTCAGCAAGACAAAAAGGCAGCCCACAGAATGGGAAAAATATTCAGTAACCCCACATCTGACAGAGGGTTGATCTCCAAAATTTACATAGAACTCAATAAGCAAGTCTCCAAAACACCAAAGGATCCAATTAAAAAGTGGGCTTCAGAACGAAATAGAGAATTCTCAGTAGAGTAGTCTGAAATGGCTGAGAGGCACTTGAGAAAGTGCTCAACATCCTTAGTCATCCAGGAAATGCAAATCAAAACAACTCTGAGATACCATCTCACTCCTGTCAGAATGGCTAAAATCAAAAACACCAACGACAATTTTTGCTGGAGAGGATGTGGTGAAAGGGGAACACTCCTCCACTTCTGGTGGGAGTGCCAACTTGTACAGCCACTTTGGAAATCAGTATGTAGATTCCTCAGAAAAATGGGAATAAACCTACCACAAGACCCAGCAACTCCACTCTTAGGCATATATCCAAAAGATGCCCATTCACACAAGAATGTCTGTTCCACTATGTTCATAGCAGCATTGTTTGTAATAGCCAGAACTTGGAAGTAACCTAGATGCCCCTCAACCGAAGAGTGGATAGAGAAAATGTGTTACATTTACACAATGGAATACTTACTATTCAGCAGAAAAAAAAACAATGGAATCCTGAGATTTGCAGGCAAATGGATGACACTAGAACAAACCATCCTGAGTGAGGTAACGCAGTCACAAAAAGAGAAACATGGCATGTACTCTCTCATATATGGAATTTAGACATAGATCTGGGGAGTGCCAGTCTACAATCCCATGGCCAGAGAGTCTGGGAAACAGAATCTTCATTCAGTGGCTGATGGAGGCAGAGGCAAACTCTCATGGCTAAGCACTGAGCAGAACTCAAGAAAGCCAGTAACACAGAGGGAGGACTGATGACCAAAGGGATTAAGACTGGGCTGGTTTAACCCCCAGAAACAGCTGACCAGACAAAGGTTAACTCTTGAATCCCCGGCTGATACCTGGGAATCCAGTATGGGACTGATCAATATCCCCTGAATGTGGGTGTCAATGAGGAGACCTAGGTATTCTATTGAGCCTTGGGCAGTAGATCAGTACTCATCCAGGTATACACATGGACTTTGGACTCCCATCCAACAATGTGAGATGCACTCTCATCCTGAACTCTTGGGGGAGGGTCTAGGCCCTGTCCTCAGTATAATGATAGACTATGGACACCCCCAAGGAGGGCCTCACCTTCCCTGGGGAAATGAGGGATATTGGGGGGATTAGGGGGAGGGCACGGGAGGAGGGGAGGGAAACAGAGGGACCCAGAACTGACTTGTGAAGCAACCTTTTTTCTAATTTAAATTTAAAAATAAAGAATAAAAAAAGACAAACATGGTATATACTCACTCATATATGGATTTTGGACATGAAACATAGGATTGCCAGCCTACAATCCCACTGCCAAAGAGTCTGAGTATTAGTCAGGACCCTAAGAGAGATATGCATGGTACCCCTGAGAAAGGGAAAAGGACAGGATCTTCTGTGGGGATTGGGAGCATGAGGGTAGGGGTGAGGAGGGAGTTGGCAGAAAGAGAGGGGAAGAAGAGTGGGAAGAGGAAGACATGGAGGAGAAGGAAGTTTGAGTCTGGGGGTGGGTAGGATGGAGGGGTGAATAGAGGATTGCAGGATGAGAGATACCATAACAGAGGGAGCCGTTCTAGGTCCCCTAGGATCTCTCTAGGAGAGATCTGGCACTAGTGAGATTTCCGGAGATCTAAAAGGACAACACCAACTGGCAATCTAAGCAATAGTGGAGAGACTACCTTAAATGCCCTTCCCTGATAATTAGATTGATGACTATGTTTTATGCTATCCTAGCGTCTTTATCCAGTGGCTGATGGAAGCAGAGGCAGACACCCATAACTAAACACTGAACTGAACTCCTGGAACCCAGTTACAGAGAAGGAGGAGTTATGAGCAAAGGAGTCAAAAATGGACTGATGAAACCCACGGAAACAGCTGTCTTGACCAAGCGGGTATGGGGCTCATGGACCAAAGACTGTTGACTGAAAGGCCAGCATGGGACTGATCCCGACCCCCAAACATGGGTGTCAGTAAGGAGGCCTTGGCAATCTATGGGCCCTCAAGTAGTAGATCAGTATTTATTCCTGGCGTACAAGTGGACTTTTGATCCCATTCCACATAGAGGGATGTTCTCTCAGCCTGTACACATGGGGAGGGCCTAGACTCTGCCCAGGATATGACAGACTTTGGACAACCCCCATACAGGGCCTTATCCTCCCTCGGGAGCTGAGAAGTGATGGGTTGGGGGTTTAGGGGGATTTGTGGGGCTTTAGTTGGGTTGGTAAGGGGTGGGGAGCAGGGGAGGAGAGGAGAGAGAGGTTACTGGGTTTGATATGTGAAGGAAGCTTGTTTCTAATTTAAATAAAAAGTAGGAAAGAAAAAAATTAAATTTTGAAATAAAATAATTACACCATTTCCCTTCCCTTTCCTTTTCGTTCTTTTCCCAAATTCTCCTGTATACTTCTCATTTAATCAAGTGTTTTAACATATATATATATATTGCTGGGAGCCACAATTGACATATAAACAGGAGGTAATAAATGATATTCAAGAAATAATATCTAATGGAGGAAAACTCATTTTGCAAAATTTTCAAATTATACAAACTCAAGAATGTTTTGCTTCTGCCTGCAATTTTAAATGTGCTAATTGCATTCTTTGCCTAGGGGCTGAGGGGGAATTACTTACTGCCTATAATTAGTGTGTGTTTCTAATGAGTACAACTCCAGATCCAGTGAACTTTTTTCTCTGTGGTTTTTCAAGAAGGTGGCTCTTCCTTAGCTGTGTTGTTAGCCTATACTGAGTTTTGATGAAGAAAACAAATACAGATAGATGCTGCCTAAGTCAGGGGTTATTAGTTCCCTCTAAGAATTGCCTTGGAGCACAGCTTAAGAGCTCTTGGACCCCAGACCGACAGCTGGGAGGCCAGCATGGGACTAATCCAGACCCCCTGAATGTGAGAGTCAATGAGAAGGCCTGGGCTACCTATGGGGTCCTGAGCAGTGCATCAGTGTTTATCCCTTGAATACTAACAGGAATCGTGTGTCCATAACACAAAGAGGGTTGCTGTCTCTGCCTGGACTCTTAGGGAAGTGCCTGGGCCCTACCCTGAATGAAATGATAGACTCTAGATATCCCCTACGAGGAAGGAATTGGCAATAGGGTGGGAGGATGGGGGGGATAGTGGGGGTGCGGGAGGAAGGGAGGGAGAGGGAACTGGGATTGACATGTAAAACAAGCTATTTAAAACAAAAAAATGTTTAAAAAAAGAAAACAACTGTAATCTCTGCCCATATAGCTGTACACTATCAACTAACATAAATCTTTAAAGTAGCTTTAGACTAGATCAGGTGTCCTGCTAATAGATTTTAAGATACACTTCTGCCAGAAAATTATAATCTTATTTACAAGGGCATGTAGCTAGCTGTCTGACTTGTTGAGTCAAGGTAATTTAATCATGTGCCAGGGACAGTAATTAACTCTTCGTACATATTCCTAACCTCAGTTTTATCAGTCTTTACTCAAGTTTCACCATGGTAGAAAGATTCTGTATCAGGTCAGGGTTATAAAAAATAAACTATCTTCATAGCCCGAAGAAAGAATTACAACAGCATGCACATGTGACTGACAGAGTTTCAGAAAGTGGAAAGGAGACAGTGAAAGAGAATGCAATAATATCAGCCAAACCATAGGTTTGTGAGGAGATGAGACATCTTCTAAGTAGGAACGTTTGCCTTTCCTTCCTGCCATCTCTTTTCCCCAGTGTGCAGAACAGCCACAGGCAACACCTGTCACAACATCTGGTGGGAGGTGTAAGCTCTGCTCGCATTGATGCCTGTTCTCCTCACAGGAGCGGAAAGCTCTGCGCAAGTCTCAGCCCTTTATCCGACATTTCTTTGATTGCACTGGTGATATGGCTAATAGGCAAAAGGATGTATTTGCATATGCATCACTCAAAAACTGGAGGGAATGTAAGCATCACTCCATGTGATTATAGTCCCTTGTGTGGCTTATATCAAGGAGCAGTGGAACACCTTGCAGAAACACTGGTCTGCAAAGAGTTTGAAATAACTAAATGAGCAGGTTGTTGTCTCTCCATGAATGTGGCAAACACATTGTCACCCAGTCTGTATAGGCATTAGGAAGTACACAGAGGAAGCCTCACTGGACCCTATTTTGTGGAATGGCTATTGTCTTATCACCTTTTAATAGTGAATTGTGCACATGCCTCAAGCTATGCTTTGAAGTTACACCATGTGGCCACAGCACAGCAGCTTAAAAAGGGGCAGATATGTTGTAACTGGCTGCAAAATGGTTTTGTGCTCAGCCTTCACCCATAAAAATAGAAGTCAATACATGAAAATGAGACCTCTTATTGCATTATAAGGGGAGCATTGTCAGGAAGGAAAAGATGGAATGAATTAAGGGTTCGTACTGGAGAATAGGGCTAGGAGGAGCAGCCAGGAAACACTCACCGTGGAGAAATGTCCGTTCTCTCTGGCCCTTTAGAGTGTAGAGAGGTGCGGTAGGTATAAAGTGGTAAGAAGGCACTGATCACCATATCTCCATCCTGGTATACACTGTCTGTGTAAGAGCTCAAACACCTTGGGGTACTGAAATTGCTCAGGAACATAGGAAACATCAGAGTCAAGAAGAAAGAAATCAAAGTGAGCATTGTCAATGTTTCTCTGATCATAAATGGAACTTGCAGCGATGACGATTGCACACTTTCAGCAGGTAAATGTGTGGTCCTGTCTGTGGTTTAATAAGTGTTGCAGACAGAGGCGGCAATTCAATTGCTTATACATTCCACATCAGACGTATACAGTCCCCTGGAGAAATCTCCAAAATTTTCTACCCTCAGGCTTTACATCTGAGGTTTTCTGTTCGAGTGACAAACACATGTTGGAAATATATGTCTGAGGGTCATCCTCTCATAATATTTGCATCATTATTCTGTACAAATCTAAGAAGCACAAAGCCACAGTATCCTACTAAAAAAGATTGGATGTACAACTTGTATGCATAAGTTTATGGCACAAACACCATTTGACATGAGGCTGTTAAGAGAAGCTTTTTCTTTGAGAGAAGCCTTCCCACCAGCGTGGTTTCAGAGCCACATCAGTCCCAAATAAACATACAGGAGGCTATATTAATTATGAAGCTGTTGGCCTTTGCTTGTTTCTTACTGGCTTGCTCTGACTTAAGTAATTACCCCATAATTGTTAATCTAAGTATTTCTCTTACCGGAGAATAGTTCCAGGCTTCCTACCCCATGGCATTACATGTTGAACTCTCCTGTGTTTCTCCTTCCCAGAATCCTCCTGGACTCCTAGTCCCACCTATCTAGATTCCTATTGGCCAACAGTGCTTTATTAACAAATGTACAGGACTTCCCCAATCATGAGGCAATTGGATTGTGTCTGAGAGGTGGGCCACACATAGTTCTAGGATGTCTCAATGGAAAAAAAAGTAAAGCCAGTTAGGTCTTTTCTCCATAACTTGAGTTTTTGCTCATTATGTTTCATTACAGACAATAGAAACCCTTAGACAAGCTTGTGCCCAGAGTGGAGACTTGCTGAGACAGATCTGACAATGTTGTTTTAAGAGGATTTTTGAAAGATTTTCAAAATCAATTGAGTGTTGAGAGCTTAGTGAAATGCTCTGTAGAATCTTGGGAGATAAAAAAATGTTGAAAGGAGTATAGACAATGGAGACATGACTTGTGAAGTTTCAGAAGTGTGTATGGAAGTTTCTGCCCTGCTTAGTCCTGCAGATGTTTACACCCAAATAATCACACAGAGGCTATATAAATTATAAACCATTTGGCCTTTGGCTTAAGCTTCTTATTGGCTATCTCTCTTAATTATTTACCCATTTCTTTATTTCTACTTTTTATTTAAATTAGAAACAAGGTTTTTTAACATGTCAATCCCAGTTCCCTCTCCCTCTACTGTCCCCCACATACCCCCTATTCTGAACTCTTTCTGCTCCACAGGGAGGGGAAGGCCTTCCATGGGGGATCTTCAAAGTCTGTCACATCATTTGGGGCAGGGCCTAGGCCCTTCCCCATGTGTCTGGGCTGAGAGAATATCCCTCTATGTAGAATGGGCTCCCAAATTTCATTCGTGTGCTAGGGGTAAATACTAATCTACTACCAGATGCCCTATAGATTGCTGAGGCCTCCTCATTGGCACCCATGTTCAGAGGGTATGGATCAGTCCTATGCTGGTTTCCCAGCTACCAATCTGGGGTTCTTGAGCTCCCCTTGTTCAGGTCAGCTGTTTCTGTGGGTTTCACCAGTCAGTCTTGACCCCTTTGCTCACCATTCCTCCCTCTCTGCAACTAGGTTCCAGGAGTTCAATTCCATGCTTAACTGTAGGTGTCTGCCTCTGTTTCCATCAGCCACTGGATGAAGGCTGTAGGATGGCATATATGGTAGTCATCAATCTCAATACTGGGGAAGGGCATTAACGTAGCCTCTCCACTATTGCTAAGATTGTTAGTTGGTGTCATTCTTATAGATCTCTGTACATTTCCCTAGTGCCAGATTTCCCTTCAAACCTATAATGGCTCCTGTACAACGATATTTCTTATCTTGCTCTCCTCTATTCTTCCTCCGACTCAACCTTCCAGGACCCTCATGTCCTCCTCTCCCCTCCTGTTTTCCCATTCTCTTTCTCCTAGCTCCCTCTTCCCTCCACTCCCCACATGATCCCAATTTGCTCAGGAGATCTTGTCCCTTTTCCTTTCTCTGGGGTACGATGTATGTCTCTCGTAGGGTCCTTCTTGTTTCCTAGCTTCTCTGGTGGTGTGGACTGTAGGCTGGTAATCCTTTGCTCTATGTCTAAAATCTGTATATGAGTGAGTACATTCCAAGTTTGTCTTTGTGACTGGGTTACCTCACTCAAGATGGTTTCTTCTAGTGCCATCTATTTGCCTGTAAATTTCAAGATTTCATTGTTTTTTTTTCTGCTGAGTAGTACTCCATTGTATAAATGTACCACATTTTCTCTATCCATTCTTCAGTTAGGGGCACCTAAGTTGCTTCCAGGTTCTGGCTATTACAAATAATTCTGCAATGAGCATAGTGGAACAGATGTCCTTGTTGTAGGAATGTGCGTCTTGGGCTATATGCCTTAGAGTGGAATTGCTGGATCTTGTGGTAGACTAATTCCCATTTTCATCAGGAACTGCCATACTGATTTCCAAAGTGGCTGAATGAGTTGGCACTCCCACCAGCAGTGGAGGAATGTTCCCCTTTCTCCACATCCTCTCCAGCATAAACAGTCACTGGTGTTTTTGCTTTTAGCCATTCTGACAGAGAAGTAAGATGGTATCTCAGAGATGTTTAGATTTGCATTTCCCTGATGGCTAAGGAGCTTGCACTTTCTTAAGTGTCTAACAGCCATTTTAGACTCCTCTATTGAGAATTTAGTTCTGTATCCCACTTTATTTTCAGAGGATGAAAGGCAATTTTATTAGTTTAACAGGAAAAAACAAAGCATACAAGTTTTAAATATCAGCAGCTGCATAAAGGAAGGACAGAAAGTTGGGAAAACCCATGTCATTTGGGTTAGAGTGGCTTGGATGTACACTGACTTTTTATTTGGTTTATTTGGTGTTTTGGAGACTAGCTTCTTGAGTTCTTTGTAAATTTTGGAGATCAGCCCTCTGTCAGATGTGGGACTGGTGAAGATCTTTTACCATTCTATAAGGCTGTGTCCTTTGCCTTAGAGAAGCTTCTCAGTTTCAGGAGGTCCCATTTATTAATTGTCCATCTCAGTGTCTGTGTACTGGTGTTATGTTCAGGAAGAGGTCTCCTGTACCATTTCTTTCAAGGGAACTTCTCACTTTCTCTTCTAAGTGGTTCAGTGTGGCTGGATTCATGTTGAGGTCTTTGATCCATTTGGACTTAAGTTTTGTGCACTGTGAAAGACATGGGTCTATTTGCAATTTTCTCCATGCCAGCATTCAGTTATGTTGATCCTGCCTATCCAAGAGCATGTGAGTCTTTCCATTTTCTGGTATCCTCTTTAATTTCTTTTTTAGTGACCCAAAGTCCTTGGAATACAGGTCTTTAACTTGTTTGGTTAGTGTTACCCCAGGATATTTTATGTTGTTTGTGGCTATTGTAAAGGGTGATGTTTCTCTGATTTCTTTCTCAACCCATTTATCCTCTGTATATAGTAGGGCTACTGATTTTTTAGTTAAATCTTGTATCCTGCCACTTTGCTGAAAGTACTTATCAGCTGTGGGAATTCTCTGGTAGTGTTTTTTTAGTCACTTAAGTAAACTATCATATCATCTGCAAGTAGTAAAAGATTGACTTCTTCCTTTCCAATTTGCATTTCCTTCATCTCCTTTTGTTATATTATTGCTCTAGCTAGACCTTCAAGTATAATATTGACGAGATATGGAGAGAATGGACAGCCTTGTCTTGTTCCTCATTTTAGAATCCTTTGAAGATATTTTTAAAAAGTATTACCTAGACACCTGTGCCCCAGCATCTGGTGAGCTTGGGTCCTCATGGGGACCCCTTCCCCTCCCATCACTGGCTCCCTCCATCTTCCAGAAGCTCCTGGGATTTAGAGGACCTGCCCACACAGGAAAGACTTAAGTCCTTCCAGACCCCACCCCACGGCTCTCCCCACACCTGCACACCTGGCTTTAGTGAGACCAATGGAGACAGAGAGACCCCACCTGTATCCACTCAAAGAAGGGATGGGAAGATGACAGTATAAGAACACACTTAGCAATAGAGAGACCAATATGACTCTACCAGAATCTAGAGACTCTACACAAGCAAGACCTCAAAATCACAACATAGATGAAGCAGAGGAGACAGACCTTAAATATTATTTTAAGATGATAGAGACCCTCAAAGAGGCAACAAGGAAATCCCTTAAAGAAATACAAGAAAAACAAACAAAAATACATGAAATGGAGGAAAAGAAGAACTAAAACATTCAAGAAATAAACAAATCTCTTAAAGAATCTAAAGAGAGTCAAGCAAAAATAAACAAGTGAAGGAAACAACCCAAGCAGTTCAAGCCTTGAAAACTGAAATAGAATCAATAAAGAAAACACAGAATGAGGGGATGCTGGAAATAGAAAAGCTAGGTAAATGATCAGAAGCTACAGTTGTAAGTAACATCAATAGCATACAAGAGATGGACGAGATAATCTTAGATGTTGAAGACTCATTAGAGGATATAGTCATCAACCAAAGAAAATCTCAAGTCCAACAAATCTTCAACACAAAATATCCAGGAAATATGGGACACTGTGAAGAGGCCAAACCTGAGAATAATAGGCATAGAAGAAGGTGAATAAATACAGCTTAAAGGTACAGAAAATATATTCAACAAAATCATAGAAGGAAACTTCCCTAACCTAAAGAAGGATATGCCTATGAAAATACAAGAATCTTATAGAACACCAAATAGACTGCACCAGAAAAAGAAGTTCCCTCACCACATAATAATCAAAACATCAAACCTACAGAATAAAGAGAAAATATTAAAAGCAGCTAAAGAAAAAGGCCAAAAAATTTGAAGCCCAACAAATCCCTAACAC